CAAGCCCCGGCTGGGGTGGGAGAGGTGGTGGCTCAGCCCTTGGCCTCTTGCCCACTTGCAGAACAGACTCGGAGCGTGACGTTTGTTTTCCGTGGGTTGCTGTTTGGTTGTAGCTTTGCTTAAACAAAGCAAAAACCCGGCTGTTTTTTCAGTATTGCCTTAGCAGGATGGGAAATGCGACTCCCTGTGAGAAAATATATTCCCTGCAAATTTTTGGCAGGACCGAAGCCCTTAAGCAGTGAAGAGGTGGAGCAATAGCCAGGCCGCATCAGCTGCGCCGGCTTTGCTGTCTCTTGGCACCCCTCACGGCGCTTAATCGTATGCGTTCCTCTCCACACCTCTGCAGCGGCCAGCCCTGCGCTGAATCCCCCGAGGACAAGAGTTTTTAACATAGGGACTTTATTACTTCTAAAAAAAGGTACAGAACATGTATCTCACGCGCACACTCGATGCACAAATGAATCAGAGCTTGTAACAGTCACTGTGCTCTACAGCAAATGACATTTTAAGCCCCAGGAACCGGTGACACCCACAGGCTCCGTCCTTCTGCACCGGCACTCACCTCGTGCCCTCCCGGACTGCCCACCGCGCAGCGTGAAGCAAGGAGGAACCGCGGCCCCCCACCCTGGGTTTTAACTGCCCCCCACGAGGGGTGCCAGCGCCCTGCCTGCTAACAGCGGGGAACAGGAGAGGGGAGCAAGGCGAGCGCGAGGACGGATGCAGGCTGGAGGAGCAGCTCCTCCTGACGAGTGCAGCTGGAAGCCGGTGGGAGCCGGCCGCAGAGCTGAAACCGGTGTCCTCCCAAATACCGCGATGGGACTCGAAGCGATCTGATCTGCCTGGTGCACATTCATCTCCCCAGCACCGCTCCAAGCCGAGGACTTCACCCATAGCCAGACAAGACAAGTGTCCACTCCATTTGCTGCAGTGCCTGCAGGGTGACCCAGCTCCCACGGACATGCACAAGCCATCCAAGACCAGCAAGAAAATAGACAAGGCACAGTGTTTTCCAACGTTCCTACAAAGGTCTCAACTCCGTGACGCTCCAGGAGCAAGGACAGGACATTACATACATTCAAACGGCTACAAAGCTTTACTACAAAAATAACATTTCTAGTGTTTCATATAACAATAATGCCATAGTAGACCTCCTCACGAACCGCGGGGCCACGAACCCCAGCCGTGCGTCAGCAGGACGGACGGGGAAGCGGTGCTGACAACCCCTGATTTACCCTCCAGGTAAATCAACCCCAGCCAGTGTCACACAGCTGGGCTGCACAGGGGTGCTGCTGCACGAGGAGGGGTATCACCCCAAATTCCTAATTACAATTAATCTGATTGCATTCTGTACTTGCAAAGCGCGAGACGAATCCCTGGCTCCTCTCTCTCAAGTCGATAAAATGCAGAAATAAGGGATTGAATGATGGCAGAAAACAAACACCGTTGCAGTCTATCCTCTCCACCTCCAGGGCTGGATGGATGCCCTGAAGGTGCGATCTGATGGATCGAACAGGCTGCCTTCCTCTAGCTCTGCTTTACAGCTGGCCCATCATTTTTGCTTTGATTATCTTGCTTATATGTGTTTTGCTTTCTTTTTTCTACGTGCACATTTACACTTTGGGATCTGACCACTGGGGTTGGTTAGAGGAGGATCTGACCCTTGATATGTATCTCTACCTACAAAGCATCATATCCTGAAGACCTTTGCACACTCCGGCAAAATTCACACTGGAGTCAATGTTTAATAAGGGCTTTCAGGAACTGACCACAGATGAAAGATAAGGCTTACATACAGCAGCGTCTAGATGTGTAAAAACCAAAATCAACATTGGTTAAAAAAAGCCTGGTACTGTTACGGTGCTTTAATAGCCTGGTGATCAGTGCCGTACAAAAAAGAAAAACTAAAATGCGGCTGAAGTGTAGGACCATGAACAGGCATTTTGTGCTTTTTTGTGGATCAGCAAACATGCTTATTTCTAGAGAGAATATGGGACCAGAAGGATGGTATGTCTGCCGTGGTGGAGTAATTCCTATATGAGTAAATCCAGAATTGCATTTAGCTCCTCCAGGAGAATATTTCCTGGGTTTTGTGCTTGCAGAGAACAGCAAAAACCCTCCAATGTTATCACAGGAATAGCAAAATTATTGGGTGACTTCTCGTTTTCTCCCACTTGCAAAGGCTCAGCCACATTATCCTGCCCCGGTGTTGGACACCGCTGGACACAGGGCGCATCAGCTGGCAGAAGGGTTTTATTGCAGTTGATTTGCCAAGAACCAGGTCTCAGACTTAATCTGCAAGAAGAAATGCCCATAGTCGTTGGAGAGAAAAGTGGTCTGATTTCAAGGAGGAGATAGATTGTGGGTTGCCGGCTTCTCGGAACGTGAAATCTGTAGCACTGACCTTCAGTCCCCTCATCAGATGTAGTTTTCATCATCTCTGTCTGAAAAGCTAGACCACCCCTTGTGTCTCCAGCAGGAGTAAACAGGGTGTTTGACCGGCCCAAGGAGAGCCGGCACCCAGCTGACCACCAGCATCAGTCTTGGTCTGACAGAGCAGCGACCTGAAGTGCAAAGAAAGCAGCAGCAGAGAGTTTAAGTGCAAATCGCGTGGTTTCGGTGTTAAGATTGCTCAAGGTGGCTGAGCCCGAGCCCAGCAGTGTGGGCGAGCGGGTGACTTCTTGGCTGGGCCGTGATGAAACGCAGAAAAATTCCCAACAGCAATTTGGAAATTCACTCCTGCCCACCACCTGGCAGAGAGCCACCAAGCAGCTCTAGAACAGCAATAGCCTTTGTACGTAGCAGTGCCAGAAAGCAAAAAAGCGTCTCATTTATTTCCAAAATACCGTCATTGGTCAGTGACGACTTAGATATATTTTTTGACACTCTGCTCTGCAAAAAAAATCGGTTTTCTCTGGTATTTTTATTCCCTGCCTTGCTTCGTACTGGTCACCAGTTCAGCATAAACTTAGCTTTCCTGCAGCAACACACATATAGTTTAGGCCAAAAATGTCCACACCATAAAGCATTCAGATTACTTCCATTGGATAGACATTGTTTTGATGTCCCTCCTTCTGGTAGAGCAAGCCCTGTACCATTTCTCTTGACATTTCTTCTGTTTTGACTCCAAATTTTAGATATAGCCATACAAGAGCAACACTGCAAGCCATCAGACCACCCACCACAGAAACCGGGATGACAAAGTGCATCTGAGATCTTGACAAGAAGCTGGGAAGAGGCAGATCGTTTGGTCTTTCTGTAGGCATCTGCACTCTGGCTTGGCCTGAGAATGCTTGACCAGTAAAAATTAACGTACCTGAAGGATCTTGCTTTCCTTCAGGCGATGAATAATCAAATGTTCTAGTACCAAAGGCATCTGTGGAGGAACTGACAACCTTGTTGGTATGGACAGAAGGACCTTCGTCTATGGCAGCTGTGAGGTTTAGAGTAGAGACTGAAGTAGTCTCTGGCGGAACTGGTGTGGCTGGGACTGTGGCGATCTCCACGCTGTCCAGGATGGAGGGGAGACCTGAACTAAAACTGCTAGAAGCAGTGTCTGGTGCGTTGGCTCTTGCACTTGTAGCATCCAGGGATTCATTTGTAGAAAGCACAGGATGGCCTGATCCTTTAGTAATGGCCATGGGGTCTGAATCTGAGCTAGGAGAAGTCGTGTCTCCAACATCAGCCATAGCATTTGCAGTATGTCCTACAGGTTCTTCTGTAGCTCCTATGGCGTTGTCAAAGCCGTGCACAAGAGCCGTGGGGTATGGGGTGGGCTGGCTGGAGACCATGCCTGCTGCAAAAGCTGTTGAAGGTGCAGGTGATTTTAAGGAATCTCTGTTTGCTTCTGAAGTCACTTCAGAGCGGGCAGGAACTCCCCGAATCACAGGGGACGATCCTGCAGGGAGCTGGGTGCTGTCCTGCGTGGCTGGCGGGGACTTGCTGGACGCCTCCGTCCTGGCAGCAGGAACATGTATTCTCTCCAAAACTATCGTGCCAGCCCCTTGGAAGAAACTAGCGGGAGCAGTGGCTCCCACTGGAGCCGTTACTGTAAGACCAACATGTTTCTGAAAAACACCGGGCTCTTCTGGCGCCGCTGCTGAGGTGGCATCACGTGGGAGCGGGGAGGCTGCAGCCTTTTTCTGGTCCAGTTTCTCTACGATCTTCTTCACCCACTCTGCCTCTGGATCTGCACAAATCTCCACGGACTTCAGAGTAATAAATCTGAAAATAAAAAGGGATCTCTTACTGGATAACAAAAACACCGTTTTAGATGATCAGCATAATAGGGAAGGCATGCAGAAAGCAACACTGACTCTCTCAAGCCTGTAGTAAACACCACCGGGTTGGATGGATTATTTATTTCAGGGAGGGCAGGTGCCTCTGAGGTCTGATTGAATGAGGAGCAGCTGAAGATGACTCATGGGTGAAGGGTTTCCCCCTAAGAAGTTTTTCTCTTTCGAAAGCATGGTCCTGACATTTGGACGCAGTGTTTGCCTCCAGCGCTCAGAGCAAGAACTCTGCTTGCCCAGCGGCAAGCGTCCATGAAGACAAAACCCTCTGATTTACTGAGTGAGGTGAGACTTTCCAGGGTCGGCACAGCAGGTTCACTTCAGAGCAACCTCCTGGGCTGCAGTAAAGTGGTCTCGATGGCGCCTCACCCCCAGGGTAAATCAAAACCAACAATTATTCTGGGAAAAAAAGGCAGTTTTTCCCATCCAGTCAAGCTCACAAGTCTGAACCTGCTTCCAGGGAAAACACCTGCTTTCCCAGAAAGACGTGGGCTCTTGCCCTGCATGCTTCCACTGCCCCCTCCTGCCAGCAGGTACGTCCGTCAGTCCCTCTCCCCGTCCCTTCGTCCCTGTCTCACTCTGTGTGTGAGCCCCTGACCTCACTTGGAGGCTACTGGTCTTTAAATAAGGAAAAAAACCCACCCACCCTTCAAATAAACACCAGCGTTCGCTCTCTCTCTGGATTGCTCCTTGCTCCAAAGCAAGGGCATTTGCTGACAGGTTAATGTTTAATGGGCGTTGGAGGGCGCACGGCAAGGGAGGCAACGCTGGGGCAGTGCTTACATGACGGCTTGTTTGGTGCAGCGGGGTTCGGTCCTGCGGTAGCTCCTTATCCGCTTCGCCGTTATCCCAGATGTAAAATAGCCGCACTCTATTGAACACTTCAGAGGTGCTTTGGGTTGCCCTGAAATAAAGTTTTCAACATATTAAATGTTGGCTTTTTATTAGGTACAATAAAACCCAACACTTTCTTTTTCCCCGTCTCTGGGGAGGAGTCCAAAGCTTGCCATGGGAGTTTCCAATCCCTGCTAAAATGAGATGCCTCTATGAAGACAAATCCCACCAGGGCCATGATTGTTTGTATCACCCAAACAGATGATACGATACCCAGAAAACTGCAAAAAAGCACTGTGAAAATTGTGGGGCTCTTGGGACACTGTTGCAGCTCGCCTTATAGGATGTGCAAGCACTGACTGGAGATCCTTTGTGCAAGCACCTGGACCTGCAGGTCCTCTCCCCTTTGGGTCACAGGAGGACTGCTCTCAGCACGGTGCCCAGAAGACACATTTCTTCATCCCCAAAAGACCTGCTGCAACCGTCGCCAACGGTGCAGGCAGTGCGGGTCAGAGGGCAGGGTGCTTGTCCCTCCTTATCTGGTCAGTCATATCTCTTCCTCCTGTTGGAGTTCCCCTCCAGGTGAGCATCCTGCCTCTCTGCTCGCTGGTATAGAATCATAGAATCATTAAGGTTGGAAAAGACCTCTAAGACCATCAAGTCCAACCGTCAACCCAACACCACCATGCCCACTAAACCATGTCCCTAAGCGCCTCATCTACACGTCTTTTAAATACCTCCAGGGATGGTGACTCCACCACTTCCCTGGGCAGCCTGTTCCAAGGCCTGACCACTCTCTGAACGCCACTTGGACTCAGAGAAAGGGTGCAGGGAAAGGACCTTTTGGTGAATGACACATCGCTCCCATAGATATCTCAGCAGTCCAGCTTCACAGCAGTTTCTCACCAAACATCTCTTTTCCATCTCCACCAGAAAATACGGTTTTCATTTTGCAAAGCGTAAAAATAAAAGCCCACTTGACCCCTTCAAAGGGCAAAGCCAGTCACACCACTGGGGACCCTTCATTCCTGCACCTACCCCCAGCTCCAACAACAGGCGTTTGCCAAGTGAGGGGAGGTTGCACAATGCAGCCTGGCAATTTGTTTCTGACGTCCCAGGGGGCAAGACTTAGAAAAACAAGCCCTGACTTATCTGAGGCCCCCTGTGAAGAAAGGAGCTGGAGTCTCGTTTAGATCATGCAGTCTCTACAAAATGCCGTCTCAGATTTCCAAATGAATTTGGTGAATTTAATGCAGTTCAGTTGGGAATGATCCAGCCACCGGGTGCAAGAATGAGCATTGCTATAGGAGCACCCTCAGCTCTTTCGATCCATTTACTGGGGAAACCCATGGTTGCAAAGAAACCCCAAGCAAACACTCCCGTGGCCCCTCTACAGAAGCACATTTCAATCTCTAGGTCTCTGTAATATTAAAGCAAAACTCTTTGTTCACACAATAATGTCTTCTGTGGCACTTTAGGGTCAAGAATACCCGCTCAGGGGCGACCGACTTCCCAATTAACTCTCATTAGCCAGAGGACATACTGCTGGTGTCCTCCACTTTGAGGAGCACTGTTCAACACAACAGGCACAAGAAGAAGAGGGCCAGATCCGTCCCTGTGGGCAGTCGGGGAGGTGCATGGCAGGGAGCGGGGAGGAACTGCTCCCAAAGGCTCTCTGATAACCGTTAACTGATTTTCCGATTACTGGCATCACAAACAAATGGTTTGCAATTAGCTGAACTCCTGGTGTATTCTTCCCAGAGTGGAGGAGCTTGGAAAGCACCTTCCAAGGAGAGAGGGGTGTCCCCAGGAGCACGGAGCCAGACCTGGTGGTCCCCCTCCTCCCGGAGCACGCAACTCCGCTTCTCCGAGCTGCAAGTGAACCTTCGCCAAAGTGGCCTCAGGGACACCCGGGATCTGG